CAGGTTTTCTTGAAGCCTCAAGCTGTCCTCCTCTGTCTTAATCCTTCTCATAATTTTGGCGTCGTCAACAAACATTGAGAGGAATGAGTCTATACCCTCTGGGAGATCATTTACGTATATCAGAAACAGGATAGGTCCAAGTACAGAGCCCTGTGGGACTCCACTGGTGACTTCACGCCATTCTGAGGTCTCACCCCTCACTGTAACTCTCTGCTTCCTATTGCTTAGGTACTCCCTTATCCACTGGAGCGCCCTACCAGTTACTCCTGCCTGTTTCTCCAGCTTATGCATCAACCTTTTATGGGGTACTGTGTCAAAGGCTTTCCGACTGTCCAAAAAAATGCAGTCCGCCCATCCTTCTCTTTCTTGCTTAATCTTTGTCACCTGATCGTAGAATTCTATCAAGCCTGTAAGGCAAGATTTACCCTCCCTGAACCCATGTTGATGGGTTGTCACGAAGTCTCTTCTCTCCAGATGTGTTACTAGGTTTTTTCTCACGATCTTCTCCATCACCTTGCATGGTATACAAGTTAAGGACACTGGCCTATAGTTCAGTGCCTCTTGTCTGTCACCCTTTTTGTATATTGGTACTACATTAGCCGTCTTCCATATTTCTGGTAGGTCTCCCGTTTCCAGTGACCTACTATACACTCTGGAGAGTGGCAAGCAAAGTGCTCCTGCACACTCTTTCAATACCCATAGTGAGATTCCGTCCAGCCCAACAGCTTTTCTCACATCCAGCTCCAATAGGTGCTTCTTGACCTCATCTCTTGTAATTTCGAACCTTTCCAAGGTCACCTGGTTTGCTGCCACCTCTCCTAGCGCCGTGACTTCTCCTAGTTCTATTGTAATTTCCTCCTGGAACCTTTTGTTGAGTTTTTCACACACCTCTTTGTCATTCTCTGTGTACCTGTCCTCGCCCACCCTAAGTTTCATCACCTGTTCCTTCACTGTTGTCTTCCTCCTGATGTGACTGTGTAGTAGCTTTGGTTCGGTCTTGGCTTTATTAGCTATATCATTTTCATACCTTTTCTCAGCTGCTCTTCTCACACTAACATACTCGTTCCTGGTTCTCTGGTATCTCTCTCTACTTTCTGGTGTTCTGTTATTACGGAAGTTCCTCCATGCCCTTTTGTTCAGCTCCTTTGCTTTCATACATTCCCTATTAAACCATGGATTCTTCTTTTGCTTCTCTGTTTTTTCCTGTTGGCCTGGGACAAACCTGCTTACAGCCTCCTGACATTTTTGGGTGACATAGTCCATCATGTCTTGTACAGACTTGGTTCCGAGTTCTGTGTCCCAATGTATATCCCATAGGAATTTATTCATCTCCTCATAGTTTCCCTTTTGGTATGCCAACCCTTTGTTTCCCAGTTCTTTTTGGGGGTGATAATTCCTAGATCAACCAGGTACTCAACGCTCAATACACTATGATCACTCATTCCCAAGGGGACTTCCAACTTAACTTCCCTTATATCCGACTTATTTAGGGTAAATATCAGATCAAGCAAGGCTGGTTCATCCCCTCCTCTCATTCTTGTCGGTCCCTTGACGCGTTGACTTAGAAAGTTTCTTGTTGCCACATCCAGCAGTTTAGCTCTCCATATGTCTGGGCCTCCATGTGGGTCTCTGTTCCCCCAATTTATCTTCCCATGGTTGAAGTCTCCCATGATTAGAAGTCTGGATCCATTCCTGCTAGCCACAGAAGCTGCTCTCTCTATTATATAGATGGTGGCCAAGTTGTTTCTATCATATTCCTGTCTGGGTCTTCTGTCGTTCGGTGGGGGGTTATATATGACTACTACTATAATTTTCTGTCCTCCAGTTGCTATGGTGCTTGATATTTAGTCATTGAAACCTTCACAGTTCTGAATTACCATCTCTTCGAAACTCCAACCTTCTCTTTGTAGCAAAGCTACACCACCTCCTCCTCTCCCTTCTCTCTTTTTCCTCACTACATAGAAGCCCTGTGGAAACACTGTGTTTGTTATGATTTTCGTTAACTTTGTTTCTGTGAGTGCTATTATGTCTGGGTTTTCTTCTAGTGCCCATTCTCCGAGTTCACTTGTTTTATTTGTAATCCCATCTATGTTAGTGTACATTGCCTTGAAGCTCACTTTCTTCTGTTCATTTTCTTGCCCCTTCCTTGGCGAGCATTCTGCTGGTGTGGGAAGCTGTTCCGTGGGTGAGAAGATCTGTAAGGTGGTTTGCAGGGTCTCAGAGGAGTTTGGGGTAGGTGGTGGGGGTTTAAGGGAAGGGGGGACAGGTAGGGTGTGGGTTAAGGAGATAGGGGGGACATGGAGGATACGAGGTGAGGGGGGAGGAGGGATAGGGAGGGTATGGGATGAAGGGGGAGGGGTGACAGGTGGGAAAAGGTGGGAGGGGGGACATGATGGGAATGGGGAATGGGTGACAGGGTCAGAATGGGGTTGGGGGGAGGGAGGGTAGGGTGGGGGCAGGTAGGGTGAGGGGAAGGGAGGGTTTCTATGCAGAGGGGGGTGGTGGTGTTGCCCTCCCCTCTGGTGTTGCTGGGATGCTGGTTTTGGGTTCCCCTCTTGTCTCTGGGACTGTTGTGTTGGGGGCTGTGATTTCCTGGTTTGCTCCTCTCTCCCTGCGCTTCCTCCTTGCCTCTGCTGCCCTGGCTCTCTCCTCCTTCATCCCGTCCCTCTGCAGGAATGCTTTTTTGTATCCCTCCACATGCTGCAGACGACTCTTCCTCTCGAGAATATCCTCCTTCGTGGTTTCGTTTGTAAACACCACCTTTACAAGTCGGTTTCTGTACTTGTTGTACCAGCCCAACCTGAAAACCTTCTCAGGGTTTTGTACAGCCCTTTCCATCTGTAACCCCTTCAGTAGCCCCATGTACTGCCTCTCTATCCTTGCTATTCCATTCTTGCCTGTTGGATCCTTCCTGTTCTTTGATGCCTACAACTACCACTGATCTTTTTCTCTCCAGCAGCTGAGTGGTGCACCTTGCTGCTTCCTGTGAGGTGGCTGCTTGCATGGCTACCTCCCTCACTGTGTCCACAGCTTCTGAGCTCTTTTTCAGTATGTCCGCAAATGTTTCAGGTACAGAGGCATTTCCTTCCAATGTAACATTCCCACCTTCCCTTTGGATGATAATCAGATGCTCGGTCTCTTTATTTTTCTCTGTGAGGGATTTGATCTCTTCCCTTGCTGATGTCAGCTCACTTTGCAGATTGTTAATTGTAATCCTCATTTCATGCATCTCCTTCCTGAATTCCTCCAGAACGTGGGTTAACATTTCCTTCGTTTGGTCACTTTGGCTGTTTCCTGTGTCCCTGTTGCGTCCTCCTGCCATTTTGCCCCTTGTCAAGAGAGAGAGCAAGAGAGAGAAAGAACAAGAGAGAGAGAGCAAGAGAGAGAGAACAAGAGAGAGAGAACAAGAGAGAGAGAGCAAGAGAGAGAGAACATGAGAGAGCGAACAAGACAGAGAGAGAGCAAGAGAGAGAGAGAGAGAGAGAGAGAGAGAGAGAGAGAGAGAGAGAGAGAGAGAGAGAGAGAGAGAGAGAGAGAGAGAGAGAGAGAGAGAGAGAGAGAGAGAGAGAACGTGTGTGTGTGTGCGCGTGGGATGGGGGTTAAATGGAGGTGAGGTGTTGTCTGCAGATTACGGCAGGTAAGAGAGGGGGTAAGAGAAGGGGTAAGAGAGGGGGTGGATTATGAGTGAGGTTTTATCTCCTTTCCACGAAAGGTGTTAATCCCTTCTAGCCTGACTGGACGTATGTGTGTGTGCGTGTGTGTGCGTGCGTGTGTGCTTGCAAATGTACGTGTGCGTGCGTGTGTTACGGGGGTCCCGTAAAATGTCAACCTCTACCCAAAATGAACCACTTTGATATTTTAAATATATCTGATATACTGAACAAGAATTTGGTAATATTTTACCTCTGTACACCTGAAGAATTGACCAGAGAGGGGTACCTACCTGTCAGCCTCCCGCTCGCACAACCCGGGGAATAATTACGATGCTGGATGACGAAGTGCTCCGTCGTCGTCTCCCACGTGGTGATTCACTAATCCTGTAGATTGATGATGGCGGTTCTTCTCTATCTAACACAAATCTCTGGAGTCAGTCACTGTACCGGTGTGTCTGTTGTGTTACAGTTCACCAATTCACTGTACCACTGATCACTTGACCCAATATGTAAACAAAGCCTCGTGGGCCCTCCCACGTGGCCTGTCTGGCGAATTCACTGTTTAACACAAAGTTCTAGTGATAGCACTGTATTTTTTCTTTCCTATTCTCGTCGGTTATACGCTTTGTGATACCCCTAGATCTGTGATCTGTGTGTTATCGTCAGAGTTATCGCCCGAGAGGTAGGTCAGTGGTCGGTTATTGACCAGAGATTAAATTTCTGTGACGATGGTTTGAAGCTCCTGGTGAGTGATATTTTGGCGGCGTAGGGGTTTCCTAAGGCAACATTTGACTGTTCCAACCATCCGCTCGTAGAAGCCTCCGTGCCACGGTGCTCTGGGAGGAATAAACTTCCAGTGCCACTGTCGTTGGTTCAGGACAGTGCAGAGTACTGGGTGATTCCAGACCTCTCTCAGACATGCTTCCTCTGCCATCAAGTTGGACTCATTGTCTGAGATCTTCAACATGGGGCCAGGATCAACAGGCAGCAAACCTGGGAAAGGCCTGTATGAATGCCTCTGTACTTATATCGGGAGTCACTTCTAAGTGCACTCCTCTTGTAGTGGCACAAGTGAACAGGCAAATGTATTCCTTCACAGGGATTTTGTCCTTAATGCCTGTCATAGTTATGGCTCCTGCGTAGTCTACACCAGTGGTCTCAAAAGGACGACTTGTTCCTCAGTGGTGGAGGTCCTGTATAAGGTGACACCCGAGCGTCGTACAAGAATTAGGAACGGACTTTACAGTCTGGCGACCTTGAGGAAGCCAGTACTGTTGTCTCGGTACAGTGAGGGTATTGTTATACCTCCCACTGCCTGAAGTACGCTCCTACTTGTCACTGGGTTAATCATTTAACTAGGCCTGTGGCAGAGCCTGCTGGAAGATCTCGTTGGACCTGTGGCTGAGCCTGCTGGAAGATCTCGTTGGTCCTGTGGCTGAGCCTGCTGGAAGATCTCGTTGGGCCTGTGGCTGAGCCTGCTGGAAGATCTCGTTGGACCTGTGGCTGAGCCTGCTGGAAGATCTCGCTGGACCTGTGGCTGTGCCTGCTGGAAGATCTCGCTGGACCTGTGGCTGAGCCTGCTGGAAGATCTCGTTGGGCCTGTGGCTGAGCCTGCTGGAAGATCTCGTTGGTCCTGTGGCTGTGCCTGCTGGAAGATCTCGTTGGACCTGTGGCCTGTGGAAGATCTGTGCCTGTGGCTGGAAGATCTCGCTGGACCTGTGGCTGTGCCTGCTGGAAGATCTCGTTGGACCTGTGGCTGAGCCTGCTGGAAGATCTCGTTGGTCCTGTGGCTGAGCCTGCTGGAAGATCTCGTTGGTCCTGTGGCTGTGCCTGCTGGAAGATCTCGCTGGACCTGTGGCTGTGCCTGCTGGAAGATCTCGTTGGACCTGTGGCTGAGCCTGCTGGAAGATCTCGTTGGGCCTGTGGCTGAGCCTGCTGGAAGATCTCGTTGGTCCTGTGGCTGTGCCTGCTGGAAGATCTCGTTGGACCTGTGGCTGAGCCTGCTGGAAGATCTCGTTGGGCCTGTGGCTGAGCCTGCTGGAAGATCTCGTTGGGCCTGTGGCTGAGCCTGCTGGAAGATCTCGTTGGTCCTGTGGCTGAGCCTGCTGGAAGATCTCGTTGGTCCTGTGGCTGAGCCTGCTGGAAGATCTCGTTGGGCCTGTGGCTCAGCCTGCTGGAAGATCTCGTTGGACCTGTGGCTGAGCCTGCTGGAAGATCTCGTTGGGCCTGTGGCTGAGCCTGCTGGAAGATCTCGTTGGGCCTGTGGCTGAGCCTGCTGGAAGATCTCGTTGGGCCTGTGGCTGAGCCTGCTGGAAGATCTCGTTGGGCCTGTGCCTGAGTCTGCTGGAAAATCTCGTTGGCCTGTGGCTGAGCCTGCTGGAAGATCTCGTTGGGCCTGTGCCTGAGCCTGCTGGAAGATCTCGTTGAGCCTGCTGGAAGATCTCGTTGGACCTGTGGCTGAGCCTGCTGGAAGATCTCGTTGGGCCTGTGGCTGAGCCTGCTGGAAGATCTCGTTGGCCTGTGCCTGAGTCTGCTGGAAGATCTCGCTGAGCCTGCTGGAAGATCTCGTTGGGCCTGTGCCTGAGTCTGCTGGAAGATCTCGTTGGGCCTGTGCCTGAGTCTGCTGGAAGATCTCGCTGAGCCTGCTGGAAGAGCTCGTTGGACCTGTGGCTGAGCCTGCTGGAAGATCTCGTTGGGCCTGTGTCTGAGCCTGCTGGAATATCTCGCTGAGCCTGCTGGAAGATCTCGTTGGACCTGTGTCTTAGCCTGCTGGAATATCTCGCTGAGCCTGCTGGAAGATCTCGTTGGACCTGTGGCTGAGCCTGCTGGAAGATCTCGTTGGACCTGTGGCTGAGCCTGCTGGAAGATCTCGTTGGGCCTGTGGCTGAGCCTGCTGGAAGATCTCGTCGGACCTGTGGCTGAGCCTGCTGGAAGATCTCGTTGGACCTGTGGCTGAGCCTGCTGGAAGATCTCGTTGGACCTGTGGCTGAGTCTGCTGGAAGATCTCGTAGGACCTGTGGGTGAGTTTGCTGGAAGATCTCGCAGGACCTGTGGCTCAGGGTGCTGGGAGCAAGCGTCCAGTACCGTAGGACTAAAGAGGACGCCAACAAGAAAGCGGTACTCCTAGTGTCACGGGGTACAGCAGTATAGTGTCCTGGGTAACGTGTGTGTGCTAGAGCTACCCCCAACCACGAAGATGGCATGAAAATGACAGTAACCTGGTGGTAGAACAAATCCCCCCCCCCCACCCAAGCACCAACAAGGTGGCTGTGACAGTCCTGGGGTGTTGGTGGCTGTGACAGTCCTGGGGGGTGTTGGTGGCTGTGACAGTCCTGGGGGGTGTTGGTGGCTGTGACAGTCCTGGGGAGGGGGGTGGCTGTGACAGTCCTGGGGGTGGGGGTGGCTGTGACAGTCCTGGGGGGTGTTGGTGGCTGTGACAGTCCTGGGGAGTGTTGGTGGCTGTGACAGTCCTGGGGAGTGTGTTGGTGGCTGTGACAGTCCTGGGGGTGTGTGGTGGCTGGACAGTCCTGGGGGGTGTTGGTGGCTGTGACTGGACAGTCCTGGGGGGTGTTGGTGGCTGTGGCAGTGTTGGTGGCTGTGACAGTCCTGGGGGGTGTTGGTGGCTGTGACAGTCCTGGGGAGTGTTGGTGGCTGTGACAGTCCTGGGGGGTGTTGGTGGCTGTGACAGTCCTGGGGGGTGTTGGTGGCTGTGACAGTCCTGGGGGAGTGTTGGTGGCTGGTGGGGAGAGTGTGTGGCAGTCCTGGGGGGTGTTGGTGGCTGTGGCAGTCCTGGGGAGTGTTGGCAGTCCTGGGGGGTGTTGGTGGCTGTGACAGTCCTGGGGGGTGTTGGTGGCTGTGACAGTCCTGGGGGGTGTTGGTGGCTGTGACAGTCCTGGGGGGTGTTGGTGGCTGTGACAGTCCTGGGGGGTGTTGGTGGCTGTGGCTGTGTTGGTGGCTGTCCTGGGGGGTGTTGGTGGCTGTGACAGTCCTGGGGGGTGTTGGTGGCTGTGTGGGGGGTGTTGGTGGCTGTGGGGACAGTCCTGGGGGTGTTGGTGGCTGTGACAGTCCTGGGGGCTTGGTGGCTGTGACAGTCCTGGGGGGTGTTGGTGTGACAGTGTGTTGGTGGCTGTGACAGTCCTGGGGGTGTTGGTGGCTGTGACAGACCTGGGGAGTGTTGGTGGCTGTGACAGTCCTGGGGGGTGTTGGTGGCTGTGGGGAGTCCTGGGGGTGTTGGTGGCTGTGACAGTCCTGGGGGGTGTTGGTGGCTGTGACAGTCCTGGGGAGTGTTGGTGGCTGTGACAGTCCTGGGGGGGGGTGTTGGTGACTGTGACAGTCCTGGGGAGTGTTGGTGGCTGTGACAGTCCTGGGGAGTGTTGGTGGCTGTGACAGTCCTGGGGAGTGTTGGTGGCTGTGACAGTCCTGGGGGGTGTTGGTGGCTGTGACAGTCCTGGGGGTGTGTTGGTGGCTGTGACAGTCCTGGGGGGTGTTGGTGGCTGTGACAGTCCTGGGGAGTGTTGGTGGCTGTGACAGTCCTGGGGAGTGTTGGTGGCTGTGACAGTCCTGGGGAGTGTTGGTGGCTGTGACAGTCCTGGGGGAGTGTTGGTGGCTGTGACAGTCCTGGGGGGTGTTGGTGGCTGTGACAGTCCTGGGGAGTGTTGGTGGCTGTGACAGTCCTGGGGGTGTTGGTGGCTGTGACAGTCCTGGGGGGTGTTGGTGGCTGTGACAGTCCTGGGGAGTGTTGGTGGCTGTGACAGTCCTGGGGAGTGTTGGTGGCTGTGACAGTCCTGGGGGGTGTTGGTGGCTGTGACAGTCCTGGGAGTGTTGGTGGCTGTGACAGTCCTGGGGAGTGTTGGTGGCTGTGACAGTCCTGGGGAGTGTTGGTGGCTGTGACAGTCCTGGGGAGTGTTGGTGGCTGTGACAGTCCTGGGGGCTGTTGGTGGGGGGAGTGTGGTGACAGTCCTGGGGAGGGATGGTGGCTGGGACAGTCCTGGGGGGTGTTGGTGGCTGTGACAGTCCTGGGGGAGTGTTGGTGGCTGTGACAGTCCTGGGGGGTGTTGGTGGCTGTGACAGTCCTGGGGAGTGTTGGTGGCTGTGACAGTCCTGGGGGGTGTTGGTGGCTGTGACAGTCCTGGGGGGTGTTGGTGGCTGTGACAGTCCTGGGGAGTGTTGGTGGCTGTGACAGTCCTGGGGAGTGTTGGTGGCTGTGACAGTCCTGGGGAGTGTTGGTGGCTGTGACAGTCCTGGGGAGTGTTGGTGGCTGGTGGGGAGTGTTGGTGGCTGTGACAGTCCTGGGGAGTGTTGGTGGCTGTGACAGTCCTGGGGGGGGAGTGTTGGTGGCTGTGACAGTCCTGGGGGTGTTGTTGTGTGGCTGTGACAGTCCTGGGGTGTTGGTGTTGGTGGCTGTGACAGTCCTGGGGAGTGTTGGTGGCTGTGACAGTCCTGGGGGGTGTTGGTGGCTGTGACAGTCCTGGGGAGTGTTGGTGGCTGTGACAGTCCTGGGGGGTGTTGGTGGCTGTGACAGTCCTGGGGGGTGTTGGTGGCTGTGACAGTCCTGGGGGTGTGTTGGTGGCTGTGACAGTGGGGGTGTTGGTGGCTGGACAGTCCTGGGGAGAGTGTTGGTGGCTGTGACAGGGGGGTGTTGGTGGCTGGTGGCTGTGACAGTCCTGGGGAGTGTTGGTGGCTGTGACAGTCCTGGGGAGTGTTGGTGGCTGTGACAGTCCTGGGGGGTGTTGGTGGCTGTGACAGTCCTGGGGAGTGTTGGTGGCTGTGACAGTCCTGGGGAGTGTTGGTGGCTGTGACAGTCCTGGGGGGTGTTGGTGGCTGTGACAGTCCTGGGGGGTGGCTGTGGGAGTGTGTGGTGGCTGTGACAGTCCTGGGGGGGAGTGTTGGTGGCTGTGACAGTCCTGGGGAGTGTTGGTGGCTGTTGGGGGAGTGTTGGTGGCTGTGACAGTCCTGGGGAGTGTTGGTGGCTGGTGGGGAGAGTGTTGCTGTGACAGTCCTGGGGGGTGTTGGTGGCTGTGACAGTCCTGGGGTGTTGGTGGCTGTGACAGTCCTGGGGGAGTGTTGGTGGCTGTGACAGTCCTGGGGGGTGTTGGTGGCTGTGACAGTCCTGGGGAGTGTTGGTGGCTGTGACAGTCCTGGGGAGTGTTGGTGGCTGTGACAGTCCTGGGGAGTGTTGGTGGCTGTGACAGTCCTGGGGAGTGTTGGTGGCTGTGACAGTCCTGGGGAGTGTTGGTGGCTGTGACAGTCCTGGGGAGTGTGGTGGCTGTGACAGTCCTGGGGGAGTGTTGGTGGCTGGTGGGGGGGAGTGTTGGTGGCTGTGACAGGGGGGAGTGTTGGTGGCTGTGACAGTCCTGGGGGGTGTTGGTGGCTGTGACAGTCCTGGGGGAGTGTTGGTGGCTGTGACAGTCCTGGGGGGTGTTGGTGGCTGTGACAGTCCTGGGGAGTGTTGGTGGCTGTGACAGTCCTGGGGGGTGTTGGTGGCTGTGGCTTGGTGGCTGGCAGTCCTGGGGAGTGTTGGTGGCTGTGGGGGGAGTGTTGGTGGCAGTGACAGTCCTGGGGCGTGTTGGTGGCTGTGGCTGTCCTGGGGTGTGTTGGTGGCTGTGGCAGTCCTGGGGGGTGTTGGTGGCTGTGGCAGTCCTGGGGAGTGTTGGTGGCTGGTGGTCCTGGGGAGTGTTGGTGGCTGTGACAGTCCTGGGGAGTGTTGGTGGCTGTGACAGTCCTGGGGAGTGTTGGTGGCTGTGACAGTCCTGGGTTGGTGGCTGTGACAGTCCTGTGTTGGTGGCTGTGACAGGGGAGTGTTGGTGGCTGTGACAGGGGGGTGTTGGTGGCTGTGACAGAGTGTTGGTGGCTGTTGGTGGGAGTGTTGGTGGCTGGGGGGTGTTGGTGGCTGTGACAGTCCTGGGGGTGTTGGTGGCTGTGACAGTCCTGGGGAGTGGGGAGTGTTGGTGGCTGTGACAGTCCTGGGGAGTGTTGGTGGCTGTGACAGTCCTGGGGGGGAGTGTTGGTGGCTGTGACAGTCCTGGGGGAGTGTTGGTGGCTGTGACAGTCCTGGGGGTGTTGGTGGCTGTGACAGTCCTGGGGAGTGTTGGTGGCTGTGACAGTCCTGGGGAGTGTTGGTGGCTGTGACAGTCCTGGGGTGTTGTGTTGGTGGCTGTGACAGTCCTGGGGAGTGTTGGTGGCTGTGACAGTCCTGGGGAGTGTTGGTGGCTGTGACAGTCCTGGGGGTGTTGGTGGCTGTGAGTGTGTGGTGGCTGTGACAGTCCTGGGGAGTGTTGGTGGCTGTGACAGTCCTGGGGAGTGTTGGTGGCTGTGACAGTCTGTGGGGGGAGTGTTGTGGCTGGTGGGGAGTGTTGGTGGCTGTGACAGTCCTGGGGGTGTGTTGGTGGCTGTGACAGTCCTGGGGGAGTGTTGGTGGTGGGGGAGTGTTGGTGGCTGTGACAGTCCTGGGGAGTGTTGGTGGCAGTGGTGGGGGGTGTTGGTGGCTGTGACAGTCCTGGGGGCTGTTGGTGGCTGTGACAGTCCTGGGGAGTGTTGGTGGCTGTGACAGTCCTGGGGAGTGTTGGTGGCTGTGACAGTCCTGGGGGGTGTTGGTGGCTGTGACAGTCCTGGGGAGTTGGTGGTGGCTGTGTTGGTGGCTGGGGTCCTGGGAGTGTTGGTGGCTGGTGGCTGGGGAGTGTTGGTGGCTGGTGGTCCTGGGGTGTTGGTGGCTGTGACAGTCCTGGGGAGTGTTGGT